TAAGGCGTTCCTAATGGATATAAGTATTGGTTCGCAGTTTTCATATATTTAAACGTGGACATACGACTGAACCAGAAAAGTTTATACAAGGCTTTAAATTGGATATCACTACAGTGTAGCATTAATGTGCAGATAATCTACAGCTGGAATGATCAATATTGAGAGAAATTGTTACTTACGTTGCATAATCTAGGCAGACAGGTATATTTTTGTAACCCATGAAACATTTTTGCAAATCTCGACATACTGTATCCGAATGTTGCTGATTTCCTGATTAATGCTAAATAGTGTTAATATTGCACAAGAAGTACCATTCATTTTTAATAACAATCGCTGTATTTATTCAAGCCGCATAACTCTTTGTGTCAACATTACAACGCGTGCTATTTAATTACTTGTCCAGAATTCGTTGGTCTTTTACCAGTAATAATTACAAATACAGCTAGATGTTGGCCATTTGTCACACCCGACGTATCCATGTAAACGTTATATTCGAGAAAATGTAAATTAGCCTTTGCCGGAGATTTACAGGAATAATTATTAATATATCTGTTATCATCCAGACGAACTCGCAAAGGATTTACTGGTATTGTTGAGGTAAGAAAACTATTCTAGTCCAGTGGCATTTCTTTTGTATGCGATTTTAGAAAAATTGACAATGGATGGTTTCTTTTGTTGTTGCTCTTGATGTTACAGCTGTTTCTTTGTTTTCTTTTCCTCCTCCTCTTCCTTCTTCTTCTTCTGCTTCTTGTTCTTCTTGTTCTTCTTGTTCTTCTTCTTCTTCTTCTTCTTCTTCTTCTTCTTCTTCTTCTTCTTCTTCTTCTTCTTCTTCTTCTTCTTCTTCTTCTTCTTCTTCTTCTTCTTCTTCTTCTTCTTCTTCTTCTTCTTCTTCTTCTTTTTCTTCTTCTGTTTCTTCTTTTTCTCCTTATTATTATTATTATTATCATTATCATCATCAGTAGCAGCAGCAGCAGTAGTATAGCACTGCTACCGTCACCACCACCACCGCTAAATTGCCTTCCATTGACGTTGTTTCTAAACAGCTAACGAGTTAACTATGGCTGAAGTATTTCAGTTTCTGAAACACCATGTCCTCTCCTGTGTAACCCCCTTACATTTCAAGACCCTGTCCTTAGTTTCTTCCTTAACTTGAAGCTAGAAGTTTCCGTAGAAATCCTACCAGATGTTTGCTTGTTAGTTTGTTTACTCAACGGATCAACATCATGACACACGGGTGTAACCTATAAGTGCTCCGTTCTACTTCTAACTCAAGCCTGAGTCTAAAAAATCTTAGCGCAGTGCACGAACTCCGTTTCACCGGCGAGGATCGTGAAATACTTTGGGTAGATTTTTAACTGCAAATTCTGCCCGCCGTTAGGCTACTCTCATTTTTTATTTAGTCTTTTCTGTGCCATGAGTTCTTTCTAGCTACATTGTTCTACATTTTCTCAGTGTATGTCCTATCCAACGGCAGCGTCTTTTGCTCACCTCTTGATTCACTGGAATTTGTTTAGCTATCTCTAAATGTTCAAAATTAGGGATTTTGTCGTACCTTTTGATTCCCTCTATACTGTGACGGCACAAGTTATTGCAGGTTTATAGTTTATAGTATTTGTTTTATTTGTTCTCCATGTTTCCGTACCATACAGCAGTACTGATTTGACATTAGATATTGAAAATTTACAGTTAAGTATTAGTTTTGATTTGCTTTGATTTCCACTAATATCTTAAAACTCTTCCTGCCTTGTGTATTATTATTTTAACATCTCCAACAGTTACCAAAGAATCTGGTAAAAGCAGAATAAAGGATTCTCAGTTCTTTTCTTGTACCCTAACCCTTCTTTACAATTGGATTTCTCTGTGAATTCTTTGGTAACTCCATACGAAATCTCGGAGTCCCCGGCATAGGGTGGGTGGGGGAATCGGATTTCCGCAACACGTTTTCGGGTGCTAAAAGTACAAGCTTACCTACTAGCCCGAAGGACTTGAGTTCGAATCCGCATTGAGGCAGACTTTTATCAGACCACATGTAAACTACACATTCAATGCTGAATATTTACACAGGTGAGAATCCTTACGCGTGCGTAAAGCCTCGACCAAAAGACACGTGTTTTGTGGGGGGGATTTTTTAAAAAAAAAAGTAAAAGACATTTTTTAACACTTTCATGCATATATGGCATAACGGCTAGACTTATATAGAGCAGTCGGCACTCGGTGGCTAGATACTCAGCAAGATGTGGCTAGATGATTACCTAGATATGGCTAGATACTCACCTAGATCTGGCTAACTGCTCGACTACCGGTCTAAATAACTAGGGTTCAAATAAGCAACGAGCATATTTATGGCGAAAAAAATTAACTTGACTTCCATGTCCACATCACACCGCCCGCCTTTGCTTTTCTGGACTCCACCTAGTACCAATTTTAAATTCTGGATCTCTCCAGGAGCCAAGGTAATTTGAAAAAAAAAAAAAAGTCCGGTTTCGTTAGATGGAAATGCTTAGGCAAAATATAGATACAAACCATTGTACAGGGCATCACAAACCGCCCCCCCCCCCTCTTTTGCAGTCGTCAGCATGCTTTTTTGGCCTAATTCGGTAACTTTGCAATAAGTAGTTTGCCGTTGCTTTCTGGCTTATTCAGGGTTCATGTCGTTGTCTAAATTAACACAAAGGGGTATGTTGCCTTTTTCTTCTTTTGTTCGCCAGAAATACTTTGTCTATGTCAGCAATTTTGCCTCTCGTATGAATTTCGCTGTCGTTTCAGTAAATTCAGTGATCCGTAGAGTTTTACTTTAACTGTTGTTCTTTTTCTTTTTTTTTTAGCTAAAATGGTTGCCATAATATGTCATATTCGGTGCAGTCCTGGAGTATGTGTTTTGTTGTCAGGGCGACTGCCCACGTCTGCATAGATAGCTGATACATTCACATACACCTAATATCGCTATACCACTGGATGCACCAATCTTTAACTGCGTGTACATGTGACTGCATGATCTGTTCTGATCTGTCCATACTAAAGTAATCCTGTTATGTTAACATTGTTGAACATCTTTCATAACTCAAAACTCAAAGATAATGACTAGGGAAAACATATCATGGTTAAATTAAGTGCCGGTGACTGTTCATGTGTGTGTAATAGGTTCAACACTGAAAACAAGTGACCACTTATCTTTGCTGTAGCAAAATCTTGTCATCGAGTTGCAACCTATCCAAGCGCGCATTCGAACCCATTGTATGAGGAGCTCTACACGGGAACACATTGTATGAAGAGCTCTAGACAGGGAACACATTGTATGAGGAGCTCTACACAGGGAACATATTGTATGAGGAGCTCTACACAGGGAACACATTGTATGAAGAGCTCTACACAGGGAACACATTGTGTGAAGAGATCTACACAGGGAACACGTTGTGTGAGGAGCTCTACACAGGGAACACATTGTATGAGGAGCTCTACACAGGGAACATATTGTATGAGGAGCTCTACACAGGGAACACATTGTGTGAGGAGCTCTACACAGGGAACACATTGTGTGAGGAGCTCTACACAGGGAACACATTGTATGAGGAGCTCTACACAGGGAACACATTGTGTGAAGAGATCTACACGGGGAACACATTGTGTGAAGAGATCTACACAGGGAACACGTTGTGTGAGGAGCTCTACACAGGGAACACATTGTGTGAGGAGCTCTACACAGGGAACATATTGTGTGGGGAGCTCTACACAGGGAACACATTGTGTGAGGAGCTCTACACACGGGAACACATTGTGTGGGGAGCTCTACACAGGGAACACATTGTGTGAGGAGCTCTACACAGGGAACACATTGTGTGAGGAGCTCTACACAGGGAACATATTGTGTGGGGAGCTCTACACAGGGAACACATTGTGTGAGGAGCTCTACACAGGGAACACATTGTGTGGGGAGCTCTACACAGGGAACACATTGTGTGAGGAGCTCTACACAGGGAACATATTGTATGAGGGGCTCTACACAGGGAACATATTGTATGAGGAGCTCTACACAGGGAACACATTGTGTGAGGAGCTCTACACAGGGAACATATTGTATGAGGAGCTCTACACAGGGAACACATTGTGTGAGGAGCTCTACACAGGGAACATATTGTATGAGGAGCTCTACACAGGGAAACACATTGTGTGAGGAGCTCTACACAGGGAACACATTGTGTGAGGAGCTCTACACAGGGAACACATTGTGTGAGGAGCTCTACACAGGGAACATATTGTGTGAGGAGCTCTACACAGGGAACACATTGTATGAGGAGCTCTACACAGGGAACACATTGTGTGAGGAGCTCTACACAGGGAACACATTGTGTGAGGAGCTCTACACAGGGAACATATTGTGTGAAGAGCTCTACACAGGGAACACATTGTGTGAGGAGCTTTACACGGGGAAATGATATCCTGATTAATTAATATATACAATGACATCTTTTTAATATGAAATTTATGTCGCACCTGAGGTAGTAGTAATACTACAGCTACAACTACTACTACAACTATTATTACTGCAACTACTAATAGACATACTATTATAACAACAACAACTACTACTACTACTACTATTACTGCTGCTGCTGCTGCTGCTGCTGCTACTACTACTACTACTACTACTACTACTACTACTACTACTACTACTACTACTTCTACTACTACTACGTTATGTATGTATACTTTTAAAACATAATTTCAATACATGGTTTAAGGGGCTACATGGCCTCGTTACAAACTTACTAGGGGTCAAGGGTCTCATCCCCCGCTCCATACCCCGCTCCCTTCCTTTTTCAGGTCTCCATCAGGCAATTGTTTTACTTCCCAGCCAAAAGATGACCATGATATTTTTTTGTAATAGTTTCTATCATTTTTAACTGCATGTAATTATTCTTCTTTTTTTATTTATTACATATTTACTCCCTCTTCACACACAAGAAGATACGAGCTTTTGAGTTCCACACCGCGCGAGGCAGATGGCGCATGAGTATTTCAATATATCACGTGAACAGATAGACAAGGAGGACATATTTAAAAAGACCCAAAATACAAAACATTTTGTGGCGATTTATAACAATCTACAGGTCTGTAGAATTAATTGTTTCTATTCCTGTCACTTCCTGCCTTCTGTTGTCTCCCCTGTTGATGGCTACCTGACGTTTGACACCCTGAGATTAAGATCTTTTTAGTCTGGACAGCATACTCTTCGCGTGGGCTCCATGCCGCCATTTGTGGGTAAGGGGGCCTAATAACCCTCTTCTCCCCTCCAACAAGCATGTCGTACAAGGCGACTGATTATGGATGTTTGCTTTGAAGTCGGAGTTCATCTGCATGAGAGGCAAGCAACTAAAAGTCTGCAAAGAAATAAACCAGATTTGTAAAATGTGTTTACACGCCTAACTCAAGCTCTGGAATCGGACCATAGTCCAGATGTGGACGAACAACCAGAACTTTCCATCGGAGTTTACAGCCGGTGAACGCTAAGAAGAAGAAAAAGGACGACAGACCTTTATAACTAATCCCAGATGCCCCGTTCAATATCTAAAAAGGTTTTTATTTGAGCCCCCGCAGATACTACACCCGCGGGTAAGCATAAACATAGATATTCTTGTTGTTTATTTTTTCTCACTTTTCTTGTCTTTTTATTGTATGGGATGTCTCTGTGGCGAAGTGGTCGAGCCGTTTGCCTTAAGTTCTGACAGTCTTGGGTTCATTTCACGACTGAGCCGCTCAGCTCACGAGTGCAATTTCTAAGGAGAGTTCTGGGGAATAGTCGCTGGAGATCCTGAGTTCGTGCTTTTTGCAACGCTCTCGCCAGACGGCTACCTTGGAGAGAGACCGATGTATATGGGATACAATCTGGTGCAATAAAGTCGAAACTTTTAACCTTTTAATCGTTGTCCTTTATTCTGTAAGACAGGAAGCCTTAAAATACGTATTGCATGCGCATCGGTTTACATTGTAACGCCAACCTAGTTCATATATAATTATCTAAAGCCGGAAGTGACGGCACGAAAGCAGTACCAATAGGCGTCCCCATGTGGGGTATAATTTTTTGTATTTTGAAGCCCCACCCTGGCTTTTGCCGGGTCCCTAAATATAGCCGGCCCTGAAATATGGCCTAACGACTGAATGGAGTTTCCGGAACCTCTCCACGTATGATCTTTATCCGCATTTTGGCACTTTGTGTCACCGGGTGTTTATCGCTTGTGTGATGTCCTAGTGGGGTGCAACTTACCTTACATACTAAGAGTCAGCTTGCTGTCGCTTTTTAGATTTTCTAGGCAAATTTTAAGCTGATAATAATAATAATAATAATAATAATAATAATAATAATAATAATAATAATAATAATAATAATATTAATAATAATAATAATAAAAGTGAAAAAAATATAAAAATCCCTTTACACGCCCTTAGGAGCCATGGGTATATGGGAAGAGCACCCATATTGTCACAGACCAATCGGCACTCGGTGGGTAATGTGGTCAGCATTACGCCGGCCGTCTTTACTTCCCAAGGACAGCCCATCCTGGTACCCATTTATGGCTGGGTCAACCTGCGACGTCCCATACCACGATAAAAATCCACGCAGCCAGCAGTGGGTAATAATAATAATAATAATAATAAAATGTGATGTATAAATAATAAATAAGATGGTATATTTATAGTAATAGGAAATGTTAAAAAAATAATACATTTAAAGGAAATTTATATAGAGTTATTTGGGAGGGGGAAGGGGCGCTCAAAGGGATGAGTCTCTAGGTTCCGGTGCTTGTTTTCAGTCTGTATAATTTTCACAATAAAACGAACTATATTCCAGACTTTGAAATTTGATGTGAACATGGAATGTGACAAGTCTGGAGATTTTCTAGTTCATATAGCAGCTAGGGGAGGTAAGCAAGTTACAGATGTATGTTGGTTGTCTGTCACCGACACTGCTGTGTATGTTTTAGTTATATCTGATATATATTTCATTATCTGTCTGTTTGTCTGTTGATAGGTTTTCTGTCTGTCTATAGTATGATTACCTGTCTTGATTGTCTATGGTATCATTGTCTGTCTGTATGTAGTATGATTGCCTGTCTATCTATGGTATGATTATATGTCAGTGTGTGTAACGTGTGTCTGTAGATTGATCGGTTTATCTGTCACTTGATCTGCCTGTCACTTGTCAGTCTTTAAGACTCTCTGTCTGCCTTTATGCTATTACCGGTGTTGGTAATCTGCCTTTCTATCTCTTCATCAGCTCATTCATCCATTTATTCAAGCGCCTACCAAACGCTTCGCCTAATGTCTCCAATTTAGCTTCCATATTGTCAACCATTCGTGCCTTATCGTTCTTGAATTTGTAATCGTATCTGAATAATTAAATCTAGCATAGTGTCAGTATCATCATCACCATCATCATCATCATCATCATCATCATCTTTGCAGAACGTCTCTCTCATCAAGGTCTGACTGAAAGAAACGGTCTCTCACCAGCTCTCCCGCCTCATGCACATTCCTGTCCATAGTGTCACTTATATCCTGTGCCTATCTTCGTGTTCCTCAGCCCCTACCCATGGTGTCACTTATATCCTGTGCCTATCTTCGTGTTCCTCAGCCCCTACCCATGGTGTCACTTATATCCTGTGCCTATCTTCGTGTTCCTCAGCCCCTACCCATGGTGTCACTTATATCCTGTGCCTATCTTCGTGTTCCTCAGCCCCTACCCATAGTGTCACTTATATCCTGTGCCTTTCTTCGTGTTCCTCAGCCCCATCCATGTTTCCTGCTACCATGCCTTCTATTTTGTTGTTTTCGAATCCGCTATTGCGCTTGATATGGCCAAAATTTGCTAGTTTTCAATACAAGAAGCTGTTTACTAGCCAATCTTTTTGATGTGATTCCATAAAATGTCGAGACCAGTCAAGAGGAGAGAACCAATTCGTCTATAGGACGTCATTCGCTTGACTGCGGACAGGCAATTGATATGAAGAATCCTTTCCGTGTGATTTACCATACACCGATCAGGCGACCACTGAGGCTGGGCAAAACTTTATTAATTAAAATCAACAACCTCCTCTTATGTAAGCATAAGGAATGTATAGTAAATTTGAAGTTACCCTGATAAGTAGAGCTGTACCGAATAGTGATTTTCACTATTCGGCCGAATATGAATAGTGTATCATCAGGTGCCTTGCCGACTGGCGTGGGCGATCATGCCTCGCCACAATCTCAGATCTCCTGCAGCATGTATCAGTTCGTGTGCCGACACACCTCCCTGCCATGCAACAAGACTATCAAGAATCTTCTCTTGTTGTCTTCCTCTATCCCTCCTTCCACAGATCTTTCCAGTGGTCGCCACATGTTCCAATTTCTATCTTCTGATAATATGGCCAAAAATGATAACCGTCTCCTTCTGATGTATGTGATTTAGTTGTCTTCGGGCTCCCGCCTCTTTTAAAACCTCTTGTTTTTTTTTTTTTTTTTTTTTTTTTTTTTTTTTTTTTTTTTGCTGTCTAAGGTATTGTAGGCATTCTTCTGTAAAACCACATCTCTAAGGCCTGAAGAAATTGTTTGGCCTGCCTACCTTTTGTCCAGGACTAACAACACATTGCTTTTAAATATAAGTGCTTACTTAACGAGGCTAACAGTTAATATTGTACAGACCACATTTTCCACTTTCAAATTTCAGATAAAATGTAATCACAACCTTACTTATCCACTGTACCTTTACGAATACAGATGGGGGATCGGTCGCACCTCGAGATAAATACAAAGACAATTTTTAGCACGCTGCGGTTCACTTTGAGTGTGAAACAAGGGGAAAAAAACTCTTTTTGACAGTGGCGAGGAAAGACAATTTAAATTCCAACTTTAAATTATCTTTATGCCTTCTTTAATAATGTCACAATTTATAGCCCATTTTTTTTTTTATTTTCGCCGTGGCACCCCTGGCATGCGCACTAAATTTGAGAACCTCTGCTGTAATGCCTTGGTCGAGTCAGCAGGCAAAGACCTTGCCAGTTGCTGTACCACGCAATCGGGTCGCAGTTTGCCCCTCTACGGCAGACGTAGGCAACAGCAACTATTGTGTTAATGAGAGAGTTATTTCAGTCCATCGCAGTGTATGCAGAAATGGGTGTAATGTAACCACTATTCGTATTCAGCCCGATCGCAAGTATTTGGCCGAATACCGAATAGTTATTAGGTCCACTATTCGGCCCTGAAGCGGATATAAAGCGAATATTCGGATTAGAAAAAAGTCCATTCTGGTAGCTTCCAAACAGGCATCCGAAAGTCTCATCGTGGAAGAGATTCAAACCTGACCAAGTAATATTCCAGTAGTCTGCAATGGATATACTGAAGCCGATATTTGTTGTGGAAAAGGAATGTTTTTTTTTTTTTTTTAAACAATGATTCTCGTTGGGAACTGCAGAAGCTTTAAAAAGGTCAAATGTGGCATGAGTGGAGACCTAGCATCAGCCCGTCAACAGTACAGGAAACTCGCGTATATATACTGTCCGGGAGATACAAGAGTGCGGGAGAATGAACGAGCGGATTTTCAAGCTGCAAAAGCGATAGCTACCGGAATACTCCTGCTGGGCAAAGGAGACATTCTGAAGACGATTTATCAACGAATGCTCATGGAAGAGATTAGATTAGATTAGATTTAGACACCGGATCAATATCATGGCATAAGGGGTAACCCATAAAAGCTCCGTTCTATTTCTGACTTGAGCCTGAGTCCAAAGAATCTCTTCGCAGTGCACGAACTCAGTAGCCCCGGCGTTGATCCTTAAATACTTTGGGTAGATTTTCAACTCCAAATTTTGCCCGGGCAGAGCTGTTAGGCTGTTGTTGTTGTTTTTTTTTTTTTTTTTTTTTTTTTTTTCGATTTCCAACAGCCAAAAGATTGTTTACATGCGCAACAATACATACGGGCGTTCGATCTTACTACCCCGAGACCAGGAAAATAGAAGAATGTGTGAAAAAAATCCCAGTCTTTACTGGGGCCTGGACCCGGGACATCCAGCACTCGAGTCGGACGCCATGCCTTGAGACCACGCAGATCCCTGAAAAGGATAGAAGAGACGAGGTTAAATGATATAGCATGTGTAAAAATGTGTGATCGAAGAATTAAATATGGATCCAACAAGGAGAGAACATCAGAGAAAGAAAACGGTCTGTGTATTATCTGTGTACTGCAGGAAGAATTATCATTTGCACCTTAAGACATTTACTGCGGGAGACGGAGCATCTATAGATATGCGCGGTGTGCTATGTGATGCCGATTCTATAATCAGTAAATTTTGTTTAGCTCTGTCTTACGATTTATTTCAGGCTGTCGTTTGTGGCTATATATAATTGTATACTTCTTCAACAGGGTTGAGTTACCTACCGCTGATGATGACTTTAGTGAAAAGCCACGGGGCGGATATAGAACTGACCAATGGCCAGGGAATGACGCCACTCATGCTGGCCGCTGCTGACGGGAACAGTGATCTCTGTGACGTGAGTTGACACTAGCCAGTAGGTACCAAGTGGTGCTGAGACCAAGTAGCCATTGTAGAGGGAGACTGAGCGGGAGTCAGGGCTAGTTTCCCCCTTCCCTTCTTTTAACCAATTTTCTAAGGGCGATTTTTCCTCAAGTGTATTATGCCTTGTTTAAGATCGTAATGTTAATATTTAAAATATTTTTGTGTACATTAGGACAAGTCATCATCATCAGGTGCCTTGACGACTGGCGTGGGCGATCATGCCTCTCCATCATCTGCGATCTCCTGCAGCATGTAATCAGTTCGTGTACCGACACACCTCCATGCCATTCAACAAGAAGGTCAAGCATCTTCTCTCGTTGTCTTCCTCTATCCCTCCTTCCACAGATCTTTCCAGTAGTCACAACATGTTCTATATTCCCTCTTCTCATAACATGGCCGAATAATGATGACTGTCTCCTTTTGATGTCTGTGCTAAGTTGTCTTCGGGCTCCCGCCTCTTAAAAAAAAACCTCTTGGTTGCTCTTTTTGGCTGTTCAAGGTATTCTAAGCATTCTTCTGTAAAACCACATCTCTGAGGGCTCTAGAAATTGTTTGGCCTGCCTACCGATTGTCCAGGATTCACAGCCATATGTTAAAACTGGGTGTATGTAGCAAGCAAAGATTCTTTGTCTAACTCTCAATGACAAGGATATATTGCACAAGATGTTTTTCATTTTATAAAATGCAGGTTTTGCCTTTCCTATTCTGTTTCTTGTCTCAGTTATGCATCTTCCATCTGATGTTATCCATGTGCCCAGATACTTAAATTTCTGTACTTGTCTTAAAATAACACCATCGACTTTTATTACACATTTAGGAATAATTCGTTTCTTTGATACCACCATTACTTTTGTCTTCCCATCATTTGAACTGAGGCCCATTCTTTCACTTTCTGACACCACAATGTCTATTATTTCCTGTAGTTCTTTCTGACTTGTTGCTATCAAAACTGTGTCATCAGCATAACGTAAATTGTTTATATTGTGCCCACCAACCACAATTCGGGGCATATCAAATAAATTATGACAAGTACATTTAAATAATTTACAGTTTAAATTTAAAAAAAAAAATTATAAAATGGGAACCAAACAAAAATTAGATGTATAAATAAATACATGAAATAAACCTTCTTAAATTGTTTAGTGGGGGTAAGGGGGGAGGGTGCCTCTGCTCTTTACACATTTTTGGGGAGCTCAGACCCCCACCATTAAAACATATTATGGGGGAAAATGGATGGATGTGTGTGTGTGTGGGGGGGGGGGGTGGTAGTAATACGAATGAGCTTTCAGGTTTTGACTTCCCTGGCAGGAACTTCAGATCTGTCTTCTTCTTCTTCTACTTCTTCTTCTACTTCTTCTTCTTCACTTTCTCTTTTACCGCTGTGGGTGTCGAGGGAGATATAAGGTTCTGTTTCTAGCTCTTCTGGCTGCCTCGACCATAGGCACATCGTGCTGTTGTAGAGTTTCTCTGATGTTATCCTTCCATCTTGTTCTTGGTCTACCCCGTGCTCTACGTCCTTCTTCTCTTTCCATGTATGCTTTGTATGGTATGGTGTCACAAGGCATTCTCTCTAAGTGGGCAAACCATTTCACTTGCTGTCTTTGTATGTAATCCAGAATTGGTTCTGTGCCGACTTGTTCTCTTATGATCTCATTCCTGATCTTATCTCTTATGGTCACTCCTACAGCCCTTCTCAGACATCTCATTTCCGTGGTTACAGATCTGTAATTATTTTTAAACATAAGATCAAGTGCATGGAATCTACTTTATTTTCTGTCGCTGTAATTGGTTGGAAATATGTCATTCGCATCGAATATCTTTACTATGAAATATGTCTTGTTTGTCCCATATCATTACTTTCAAACTGTGAACTCGTTTGTCTTAACAGTAAAATATGGTTGTTTTTCTTGCGTGTTTCATGTGGTATACCTCCTGTTTACCTCGTATAATTAGAATACAATCTACCCTGTCTTGCTGTTTGAAAAGTTTGTGGGAAAAAAAACACCTTTAATAAACACGGATGTACCCAAAAGTGAACAGATCACTTGTACATCTGAACAAACTCGTAAGAGTACACACACTTTGATCACGCCACTGGGAATCCAGCTATGAGTTGTCAGTTTACAGTTCGTCGAAGTTCCACCTTCACAGCAAACCGCTTTCCTAATAGTTGTTCCGTCCCATCGCTATCCCTTATGCAAACAAAATGGAAACAGACTGCAGCCTTGTGAAATCATTTAGCATACACACGCATTAAAAGCATAAGACAAGCGTCAGGAATGTCAAGACAAACAGTTCGCCACTAGACCAAACTGGCAGTTGCACATACAATCTCGCATAAGGCACCATCAGTTCTGTCGCACAAGGCCACTCACCATTTACTGAATTAGTAGCTATAAGTGTTCGGTTTATGATGAGCTTTAACCTTTAAACTACTCCCCCTTACCACTTAGGCCAATATTGACACCGGTCCATTGACTCCCCCTTACCACTTAGGCCAATATTGACACCGGTCCTGAGACATACCCTTGAATTCCCGGAAAATTAACTAGCATACCACTTTGTCCCCTCCCACACTTATGCAACTCTCCCAAATCTGCACACAACAATGTCCCAACTATCTTACATATCAATTGTTAATTTCCTTGAAATTGTGTGTGTGTGTGTGTGTGTGTGTGTGTGTGTGTGTGTGTGTGTGTGTGATAATCCAATGGTTGTTTTCTCTACCTGATCTAGGTACTGATTTGTCTGTTCCAAGCTGATACAAACAAGCCTAATCCTAAGACAGGGAGAACGGCGCTTCATTATGCTGCAGAACGAAAACACAGAAAAACTGTAGAGTGAGTGGTGCTATGTGAAAATTAATGTTTAATTCCGAACATAAGGGATCAGTGTCTTCTCAACATTGTCGTGAATAAAAGTATTATTGCAAAGTGTATAATATACAGATAGACAGGCATTGACTGGCTCTCGTTAAAAGACGTATAGAGATCATCATCAGGTGCCTTGCCGACTGGCTTGGACGATCATGACTCTCCCCAATCTGCGATCTCCTACAGCATGTATCAGTTCATGTGCTGACACACCTCCATGCCCTGCAACAAGACTGTCAATAATCTTCTCGGGTTGTCTTCCTCTATCCCTCCTTCCACAGATCTTTCCAGTAGTTACAATATGTTCCATTTTCCCTCTTCTCATAACATGGTTGAAAAATGATGACTGTCTCCCTTTCATGTCTGTGATAAGTTGTCTTCGGCCTCCCGCCTCTTTCAAAACCTCTTGGTTGCTCTTTTTGGGTGTCCAAGGTATTTTAAGCATTCTTCTTTAAAACCATATCCCTGTGGCCTGAAGAATTGGTTTGCCTGCCTACCATATGTTAAAACAGAATATATGTAGTTAGCTAAAAAAAAAAAAAAAAGATTCTAACCTTCAATGACATAGATATATTGTATAAGATGTTCATTTTATAAAATGCCGTTTTTGCAGTATGGAGATATAATATTTATATTACATAATGGAGCGTGGAACTTGCTCGTTATTACCACTCACGCAGTGAGTTCACTATAATTAATATACAACTACTATGCTGACTGCATAATTTATATAAATATTACTTGTCATAATATTATTTTTTTTACTTCCTGGCCTTGGCACCCAGATCAATCCAGCCTTATATGGGTACCATGTAAGGTCCTGGGAAGTAGAAGCGGCCTGCATGATGTCGACCACATAACCCATCCAGATCAGTCTGTACAAAATATGAGTCTAGCCTTACATGTCCTATGGGTCTCTGACGTGTGAATAAACCTTTTCTTACTTTATGTTTTTTGAGGTGTTTAATCCTCCGGGGTGCAGACGTTAATTTAGAGGATCATGGCGGACTTCGAGCAGACGACATTCTGACACCTCTGGGCGATGACTGCCAGGAAGTTATTGTCTTTAACAGGACAAAGAGAATGGACATGCTGACTGAATTAGTTTTCAGGGTTAGTATATACACTTAAAAAATTGTCCACAGATATCACCAATTTAGCTAATGCTAGGTCAGCTCTGTGGCTAAATTGATGCGAACGCTTCGTAATGTCGAGATGCCGGGTTCGATCCCAGCTGCGGGCAATGCGCTTGCGTTGGTTTCGACAGTGGTATCAAGAAAGCCGACCGTCCAGAGGCAATGGCAAACTACTGGACGTAAATTTGCCGAGAAAAACCACACAACAGCCAGGGACTGTTGAAGTTGGTTCTGCAAAGTCCTGTAAAGGATACGCAACTAACCTTTTTTAGGTAGAGAATACCAAAACAAACACAATGGCTAGGGCAGTACACCAGTTAAGGACAATCATCGCAAATCAAAATTCACAATATAATATTTGTAAATACCTTCTACAATACGAGTTGGAGAACAACATCGTCTGAGACAGTGTACTAACAACGCAAGAGATAGAGCGTGCCGAGAATCCACTGTCGCCGATCTCTATTGTGGATACATCACCTGATTGATGTAAAGTAAAAATAATGTCTGAACCCACTGCTTTGGAGAAGGCGCCGTAGTGTATCTTAAAGTCGTGAGTCCTAGTCCGCAGTGAGTCGGACTGGTTCCCAGATTGGCTCAGTCTACAATGGGTCCTGGGTAAAGTTCTAAGAAGTAAAGGCGGCCAGCGTGCTGTAAACGACAGTACCCACCGAGAGCAGATAAGTCTGTAAAATATATGATCTAGCCCTATATGCCCAGTATACCTGCCGGCGTGGAAATGGGTCCATTACTTTACTTACTATATAGCCAGTACGTCTAAGGGCGTGGAAATGGGTCCATTACTTTACTTGCTATATAGCCAGTACGTCTAAGGGCGTGGAAATGGGTCCATTACTTTACTTACTATATAGCCAGTACGTGTAAGGGCTTGGAAATTGGTCCATTACTTTACTTACTATATAGCCAGTACGTCTAAGGGCGTGGAAATAGGTCCATTACTTTACTTACTATGTAGCCAGTACATCTAAGGGCGTGGAAATGGGTCCATTACTTTACTTACTATGTAGCCAGTACGTCTAAGGGCGTGGAAATGGGTCCATTACTTTACTTACTATGTAGCCAGTACGTCTAAGGGCGTGGAAATTGGTCCATTACTTTACTTACTATATAGCCAGTACATCTAAGGGCGTGGAAATGGGTCCTTTAGTTTTACGCTATTCTGGGACTGACTCATGGAGCATGATGAGAAAGATGAAGACAGGCATGCTTCGTGCAGAGGGGCAAGCATCTCTTAAGAGGGTCCCGGGTGGTTAGCATCCTTTGGATATTTTCTCCAGCTTATTCGGTGTGTTGGGAAATGAGCAGGCAGATAGACTGGCCGGCTCTGCACCACTTGTTGGGGAATTGATGAATTACAAGCTATATATTGTGAGGGCTCTTTGGGAACGAGTGAACAGTGCGGACGCGCAGATAAATCATTGCTGTCTGAGGGGAATGGCGCTGCGTGAAGTTACAAGGTGGTGTGGCCGACGTTTAACACCCAGGGGAAGGATGAGACGGATAAACAATCAAACAGCTACTGGTGCCATCGGAATTGGAACTCTTCGCTTGCTGCTGAAGATGGGGACAAATCACCTATGGGAGTGTCCCGAGTGATGTGATCTCGATTCCTAATTCAACATTCAACGCTGTTCTGGACTGACCGCACAATCAACGCTCCACGACTGAGTTTCGACCTGCTTCAAGCTTAGAAGAAAATGTGTGAAATAATCAATGTCAACTTCTGTCGTTACGCGTTGTGGGGAGGAACAGTTTGTGATCCATTGCTTGATGGACAGCTTTTTTACTGCTGTCATTCCGTGTCGATGCAGAAGCTCTTTAATGTCATCAACCCCTCTTTTCCTAGCGCTTCATATCTTTTTGTATGTAGCGTTTGTGTTAGTAGTCGTTTTGGCTGCATTTTTACCAAATGGCTAAACCATTTGATCTTCTGTTTTTCAATGAATTTGCTGCATGGTGTTCCTACAGTCTGTCTAATAATATCATTTCTAACATCGTCTCGTGTTGTTCAGTTAGCAGCTTTTCTCAGGCATCTCATGAAGTGTAAAAACAAATGCTTAAAAAGATGACTTCTTTGCAAAGGTAGGGTCCCAGCCTTTCTGGAAATTTGCTAAGATAAAATATTCGGAGTGGTGGGTGTCTGGTCCCCACATCCTGGCCGCCTTTGACGTGATGGTTGGGGGGGGGGGGTATCCCCCATTGTGCCTGAGGAACCAGGTTCCACCGCTCCCATGTATCATCACCTATGTGTTAGTGCCCGCTCCCATGTATCATCACCTATGTGTTATTGCCCGCTCCCATGTATCATCACCTATGTGTTTTTGCCCGCTCCCATGTATCATCACCTATGTGTTATTGTCCGCTCCCATGTATCATCACCTATGTGTTATTGCCCGCTCCCATGTATCATCACCTATGTGTTATTGCCCATGTTTCACCGTCAGTAATACGTGTCTCATTGCTCTAATCATGATTGTATTTCCCTCCACATTAGCAAGAGATCTTGTCCAGTCAAATTTCCCCATCGGATTTGTGTGTTGTTGATGGCAATGGCAAGACTCTTATCATGACAGTTGCTGTCTATAATAAGTGAGTAATTTGTTTCCTTTTTTGTTTTCATTTCATTCAAATTGTTAATCAGTTTTTTAGACAGGCTTTATTTGTTCAATGAGTGGTTGACTGGTTGATGATTGACTGATTTAGAGTTGGTATTCTTGCTATTGCGAGATTTATACACCTGCTACCATGTTGTTGTTTTTTTAAATATCCAGAAACCATGAGTTGTTAACCCTTTGGCTCGGTACTATGGATATCACAACTCTTCGGCCTTCATTCCATGATAGGTACCGTAAATCTGGGAGGAAATGTGGCTTTTCTGCCTACTCCCGGGGAGTGAACCCGGACCACAAGGAGTTCGTCACCCGGTCACCGCGCAGTCCGGTTTAGCCAACTACGCTAGAGATCCGGGCCTACTACCATGGTTAAAAGAACTAGTCAATGCTATTTTTTTCTCTGGCAGTAGCCAGGGGTACGCAATACCGATACCCTTTTGGGCACCAATATTTCCAGCACTACTGAAATAGGAACTTGATGGTGAGTACCGGCACCTTTTTTGTCTAGAAAATAAGCTTTGAAACTGGCCAACATTTAGAAACCTTGAGGATGCTACAAAATGCATTCAGGTAATATTTAATCCCATCTTCTGTCCTCACGCTACTTTCCGTAGCATCATAAACTGAGAGGCTGTCTATACTACTAAACTATTTATTTAGCTCAAACAATAAGTTAAAATATGACATGCATTATTATTGCTCACTACAACAATGTTCAAGTCACCTTGAGTTCCACCGCAGAACACGACAGTGTTGATTTACCGCTAGCTAAATCACTGACTTTGTTTTAAAGACAGAAAAGGGGCATAATGTATGCTATTCTTCACACATTACATTGTCCATCGAGTTCTTCGCCTTTAATTTGAAGTCTCATGACATAAGGCTGACTGACTTTCTACCCCACCAGGACATCACACAAGCGATAAACACCCGATGACACAATGTGCCACCATGTGGGTGTGAATCACCGTGGAGAGGTCCCAGAAACCGCATTTAGCCTTTAGGTCATAGTTATGGCCAGGCTATTTTACGGCCCCTAGCAAGAGCCAGAGTAGGGCTACAAATAACGAAAAATTGCATCCTAAAAAGGACGGGAAGTAAAACATAAGGATCACACACAACCTACAAGTTCCCGTTCAACCTGGGTAGATTTTTGGAAAAGAAATTGAACAAGGAAGACACTAACAATAGATTGCAAAATTTATTGACTAGCATATGTCCAGGTACAAGTTCAACAACAATCAAACTCAACTGTCTCATTTACCTGGGCAGCTATGAGAAACATCTCAACAGTCACTGAGAACCGATTTGTCCATAAACCTATGAGACTGATGCGCCAGTGGCGTGTGCGCCAGTAGCATGTACTTGACTTACTGCTATTATTATCAGAATTATTATTAACTGTGTTCATTGCTTGTTATGCCAAGCGGGACAGTTATCATGTTCATACACAAAAATAATCCTTTGTGTTCTTGATAAGTTAAACCAAGTAAAAATGTCTAGGCGTTTCATGAGGCCATCAAGGATTTGCTCTCTGTGTCGACCTCAGTCAGCTAACCTCTTTGACTACGTAGGTTATCGTATCCTTCTTCACATCATTTACTTTCGTAGCATGTCCACACAGAGCAATTGCTTTGTCATGACCCTGAAAGATTAAAAAAAATTTTTTTTTAACCATCAGCCTCTTGGATATTGGTTTTCTTCTGTGCATATCTTTGTCTTTCAAGAATTCATTGTTACGCTGTGCCAGGCATGGGATTCACAGCCCCTGGCGATGGCGAGTGTCACTAGCAAGACCTGCCCGCGTTAAGAAAAGTCTTCCATGATAAGCGGATGGGATTTCAGGACCACTGTTGCCAGCACATGTGTGTAATGTGTTTCTTCTCAGACGCTCAGCTCGCAACGTTTCTGTGATCTCTTGTTCCGTTATTCTTCTTCCCTTCCTGATCTCTCCCCCACCCCCCTTTTTTTCTCCTCTTCCTCCCCCCCCCCCTTTTCCCCCCACCTTTTCCATGCTGCACTCAGGTCACTCTCCATTGTTCGTCTCCATGTTGTTTTTGGGCGCCCATGTTTTCTCTTTCCCTCTGGTATCCATGTGAGAGCTGTTTTGGCGGGTAAATCAGGATTCATTCTCATAACGTGGCCAAGCCATTTCCATCTTCTCTTGGTTATCATGCTGTCAACTAGAAAGAGAAGAAGGGAAATGGTCCCTGTCAATATATTGTGCTGACATTTAACGGGTATCTTTTCTCCTTATAGTGTTCACCGGTTGGAAACTCCGGCGGGATATTCTGTTTGTTTGTCCATATTGGTCATTTAATCACGTTCCATAACAGTCGTTTCGCGTGCTGATCCGTTTGACAGATGTTGCTTTTTTACGCATACAGTTGGTTCCTTGACTCTCAAGCAGATACACCCCGACTTGAGAAGAAAACTCTCATAATTAGTGGCCTTTTGCGACACGCTTGTTAGCGAAGTTACAGGTCTATTCTTTTTTAAAATCCAAATTGAGGCTCGGGAACTACACGGGGAAAATGAGCATTCACTTCAATGCACCCGGTTTTATCCTTTATGTCTCAGTCTCTCTACACCACAAGGGTCGTATAAATCTTAAAGCTAACTTCTGGAATTTTCCGTAGCAATTTGAGAAACTCTTGCACGACCTTCAAGCGCAGACTACACGGCTTGACCACTTTCCACAGAAGACTCTTGTGAACTCTTCAGTCGAAAGAGCCAAAAATCAGCGGAATGACGATCAAATATTTGTTGAGAGCCAAATTTTTTTTCAAGAACCATGTTTCCCTGAGTCAAAACTGATTTATGGCCGACTGGCCGAGCCGCACTCAGATCGCCAAAGGGCCGCATGAGGCTCGCGAGCCTCGATTTGCCGACCACTGCTCTATGGTACTATTGACTACGTTTTCTTTTACTTCTTCGCGTTCACCAACAGTAACCTCTGGCGGAAAGTTATGGTTGTTCGCCCATGTCTGAGCTGTAGTCTTGTTCCACAACTTGAATTTTGCGTGCATATCCGTTTACAATCATTGCTTATTTGTACGCAGACTGTTGGTTCAACGCCTCTCAGTTAGATGCTCACCAGCTTCGAAGGAAACACCCATAGTTAATCGACTTTTACGAAACGCTTTTTAGTGGGCCGTGGGTCCCCGACCTCCCTCCCACCGACATTGGGACCCCGGAACTCATATAGGGATCTGACTATGTGATACATTTTACCTTTACAACTTCCTCAGATTCCAGACTCTACAGTACCTACTTGAAGTGAGTACACTGACCATCGACGCCCAGCACCGACTCTCAGGGATGACCGCTGTAGCCATGGCTGCCAGATTGGGCAATCTGGAGGCTGTGCAAGTTTTGTTGAGGTCAGAAATCAGGGATGTTGTATCTGGTTTTTGTTGAGGTCAGAAATCAGGGATGTTGTATCTGGTTTTTGTTGAGGTCAAAAATCAGGGATGTTGTTTCTGATTGGTGTTGAGGTCAGAAATCAGGGATGTTGTATTTGGTTTTGTTGAGGTCAGAAATCAGGGATGTTGTAACTGGTTTTTGTTGAGGTCAGAAATCAGGGACGTAGTATCTGATTTTTGTTGTGGTCAGAAATGACGAATGTTGTATCTGGTTGTTGCTGAGGTCAGAAATCACTAATGTGATATCTGGTCTTTGTTGAGGTCAGAAATGACGAATGTGATATCTTGTATTTACTGAGGTTAGAAATGACGAATGTGATATCTTGTAATTTACTGAGATTAGAAATGACGAATGTGATATCTGGTAATTTACTGAGATTAGAAATGACGAATGTGATATCTGGTAATTTACTGAGAATAGAAATGACGAATGTGATATCTGGTAATTTACTGAAAATAGAAATGACGAATGTGATATCTGGTATTTTATTGAGATAAGAGGGAGCGAATGTGATGTCTGGTATTTTATTTAGATAAGAGGGGGCGAATGTATTATCTGGTATTTTATTGAGGTGAGGAATGACGACGTGATATCTGGTGTGTGTTTTTTTTTTTTTTTTAGGTAAGAAACGATGTGATGTTTGGTAATTTACTGGGGTGAAAAATGACGCAAGTGATATCTGATAATTTACTGAGGTTGAGAAATGACGACGTTATCTGGTATTTGACTGATATGAAAGATGATGTGATATCTGGTAATTTACTGACGTGAGAAATGACAAAGTGATATCAAGAATTTTTTAGAGTGAGACGTCGATAATTACATCCAGTGGCTTGCTTAGGTGAGCAATTGTGATTGAAAAGTAGTGAGAAATTATTATCAGGTATTTATGTTGAACAATGTGTTAATTTGTGATAAAGATAACTTTTAACCAACAATTGATTTTAATATGCTCATATTCACATTCACTTTCGTTGGCAATAAGTTCACTGATAATGATGAGGGTGAGGATGATGATGATGATTTAAGAACTTACTCTGACAGGTTTCAATTTAGAAGTTTATTTTCATGGCGTTCTAACAAACAAACAAACAAAAAACAACAAGGTAAACATTTCACCATTTGACGCCTAATATCGATGCTTTTCACAGACACAAAGCCTGCCCAGTCATAGTCGACATGGACGGTTACCTCCCTCTCCATCACGCTGTAATGAACAACCACACACATGTTGTTGATGCCTTCTTTAGCCATTTTCCTAGTACTTATACGGTAGGTCTACCTGTGTTTGTGTATGTGTGTGTGTGTGGGTGTGTGCGCGCCCGCGTGACTATATGAGTGTGCTATGGCATTGCAAGTTCAAGTGCTACATGGTGCTGTAATTTTTTTTTTCAAATTCAACACATAAAAAGCCTTTTAAGCCTCTTTTCCTTGCAGCCCCCTACTCCCTTCCGTCTCCCATGAATTTTTCATGACAAATCTTAACATACAAAATAATCCCTATTTAATCTTTGATATTAATATACGGTTTTCTGCCGTTTAATAATACAGACCCCTCATTGATAATTCAAGCCCATAAATACACGGATGACAGAAAGGAATCCTAGACATTGCATTATTGAGAAGTTTTCCTCCCTTAAGCGAAATAATCTCCCAGGTCGACCCAGGCTTAAATAGGTACCAGGTAAAGTCCTAGAAAGTAAAGGCGGCCGGTGTGATGTTGACCATATCACCTACCGAATGCCGATTGCTGTAGGTCTAGCCCTATGTGCCCAATACGCCTGATGGTGTGGAAAGGGATCCTTTACCTACATATATGCCGAATACTCCCAAAGATGTGAAAAAGTTTTTTTTTTTTTTAAACATAGTGGCACACAGTACCGGCACCTTTTATTACATTATTTTTAGCGTTACTTTGTGTTGAGAACCGGTCCCTTTTTTCCGAAGGGGAGGGGAGGGGAGGGGGGGGGGGCTCTCAGTGGAATTGTTTGTAGTTTTCTTCTTCGTTGGCCCGTTGACACGATGTATCCTGGTTAATAACTGGGCTGTAATATATATGTCTTTCAATCCAAAGTATCTTATTTCAGAGAAATCTTAATTCATCATATAGCAGGTCTTTTGCAGAACGTCGCTCTAATCACCCTCTGCTTGACAGAAAATGGCTCTCTCTCCAGCTCTCCGATCTCGTGTAATTTCATATTCAAGGAGCCGCTTATCTCCTGTGTCTATCTTCGTGTTGGTCGGCCCCTGCCCCTCCTTCCTGGTACCATACCCTCCGCTATTAATTTTTTTTCCTATCAGCCATGGGCAGGATTTGACCAAAATAGTTCAGCTTCCGGGACAAAATGCTGTTTATCAGTCAATTTTCCCTGCTTTTCAGATCTTTAAAAATGGCAGTATTTCTCTTCTTTATCCATGGAATTCTGACAATCTTTCTCTGGCGTTTCAGCTCAAAGACCCTATTATCTTTCTTAGGGGCTGAGAGATAGTACATGACTTACATCCGTATGTGGCTACAGGGAAGATGCATGCTCTCAAAATTTTCTTTTCGATTTCCTTGCTGGTGACTACCCATAGACTTTTAATTAATCTTATAAACCCTAATTATTCGCCTTAAATATGTGTCTGCTTCGTTGATCCTTGTGTTAGCACACTTACATCAGGAGGCCGGTAGCCTTTATAAAAGCTAACGTGCAGTCCATATCTCCTCGTGTACCATAAAGCTTCGTCTTCATTTGATTTGATTTGATTCAAGAACTGACATCACAGCACTCGAGGCATTCACATAAGCGCTCCGTTCTCATCTTCAACAGCCAGCGAAGAGTTCCAATACTAACGGTGTCAGTAGCTTTCTGATTAAACGTCCGTCTTGCCTTTCCTCTGAGCCTCGAGCATCTGCCAGAACCTCTTGTCACCCCCAACTGCATCAATCTCACCAGACTGTGGTGATCCATCTGCTCCTCCGAACTGTAAACGCTCTCCCACAAGGCACTAATCACGTCTCCAATGTACTTGGAACAGGCCAGATTGCGTCTCCGCTGGCAGCACACAGCTGATAGTGTTTTAGTACATGCTCAGCTGACATTTGAAGAATTGCCAGCTGCGTTGGGCTACTCGCCTAACCCGCATGCCAGAATATCGCCTCCCAAAGAGATTATTTTATGGCGAGCTCCAGCAAGGGAAGAGGTCCCAGGGAGGACAGAAAAAGCGCTATGAGGACACTATAAACTGCTCTAATTTTTTTTTTTTTTGGCATTAACACAGCGACGTGGGAGGCTGCTGCACAAGACCGTTCTGGATAGCGTACGTCCCTCGTGAATGGTACATCGCCCTGCCAGGCAGCGGAGATTGCACAGGCAGAGAAACGAAGGCAGACTAGAAAGAATCGTACTGCTAATCCCACACTTATCTGTTGTCCGCACTGCTCAAGAACTTTCCTAGCTCATATTGGACTAATCTACCACCTTTGTACTCATAATCGTTGATCAATACTACTTTGGATGAAAGTGGCCTTTATAACACGTGATGAACGAACAACACATGCTCGACATTTTTTGGTGCTATTCTGCAGAGCGCCTTTAATGATAGGTTTAATTAGGAGCAGTGGGTGTATTGTCTGTTCTTTTTCCCTCGCCATCCAAACTGGGGCCCCGGAGCTTCGGAAATTATGTGTAGTGATAAGTGAAATTCGAAGACAATATACATTGTTTGGTTGTGTTGTGAGAAGCAGAAAACTGGAGTAAGTTGTAACGGTGGGAAAGTTCGAGGGGAAATGAGGCAGAGGGAGAGCGAGAAAGAAGACGCTTGAGTTTCTTCTTCTTCACGTTCACTGGCTGTAAACTTCGATGGAAAGTTCTGGGTGTTCGTCCCTTTCCAGACTTTAGTTTAGTTCCAGAACCCGAGTGTAATCCGTTTGACATATCTGGCTTATCTGTATGCAGGCTATTGTCTCTTTGCCACTCAGGCAGATGTACTCCGACTTCGAAGGATGCCCTCAATTAGTCGACTCCTACGACATGCTTTTGGGGAGGCAGAGTGTGTGTTCGTGTTTTCTCCACATGTTGGCTGGCTGCTGGACAGTTTGGCATCATGGCATGGAAAAGCATCTGTGTCAGAGTTGATTGAAAGTAGGGCTGTACCGAATAGTGATTTTCACTATTCGGCCGAATACGAATAACGGGACCAACTATTCGGCATAATACGAATAGAGTATAGTGTATAAAATATATCTTTTTAAAAAAAAACATTCATAATGTCAAATGTACGCTCAACTTTTACTTCACATAAAGTAGCTTTGATGGGTCCAAATATTTGTCGTAAGATTGTTTTTGAAAACCTGTAATAAGGCCTCATCTCTTTTATTTTCGCTTCAAGGTTCAGAG